TACGTTTGGATTAGAAGCAGTTTGAGAAACTTTTGCTCAGCCTTAATTAATATATGCTCTACCGATTTACACAAAAATCAGCTGGTCCATCTGTTGCTGGGACAGAACTGAACGATACAGATTACAGCTGATGGCCTAAGTGGTGTAAGTTATTATATAGGGTTTTCGGCAAGGGTTCATAATTGCCAATAATTACTACTACTGAATTGAAAAAAAAAGAAAAAGAAAAAGAAAAAGGTCATTGCGAGTCGCATAGGGAATTGGCGGAGAAGCAGCGTACGATACTGAGCTTTAGGCGTCGCCTCCTTTTCCTGGGCCTCCAAGCGAGCAAGGAGAGCTGGGTGGAAGGGGACCACCGGACAAGATGTAACAATCCGCAATGGACAGGCTTTCTCGAACGCAGACCAACGATAGTTCGGTGGTTCAGCATCGGCAGTCCCCTCCTCTTTCCCTGAAAGGGAGGCTACTGTACCTCCTCATCAGCAAAAGACGGAAGGTCCGGCAGCTGTTCAGGGTGAAGAGGAGGAGGAAAGGCCGGAGGCGGCACCGTCGCGGCATTCAAAGTGTCTGGCAGTTCAGCATACACCTCCGCAGCAATTGCCTCCATAATTTCAGGAGCTAAGCCAGCTCCCGTAGGCGGCGAAACAGCAGGCGTCGGCACCAGAGTTGCGGACAGCGGCGGAGACAAAACTTCAGAGGTCAACGCTTCCACACCTACAGGAGCCGGAGCCACCGACAAACGGTTGGCCAGCCAGGTCTGGACAACCACAAATCAAGATGGTGCCCATCTCACGCAAATCTCACAAGGAGTTTCAGCGTCACACTCCCTTACAGGTAAGTATTCACAAAGTAGACTGCCATTAATTACTAATAACAGAAAAAAAATAAAATAATTATAGAAAATGAACTAAAATGTCTTAAAATTGAAAAAAATAAATAAATAATTGAATACCAAGACGCGATTCGAACTCACGACATTCGGTTCCTTAGAAAACATTGTTAACTAACCACGCCATCCATGAAAAGTGACCTATTAGTGGTAATGGTAGTAATGTACAGCCTTGCTGAAACCCGTTTTGTTTTGTACTGTAGGTGTATGGAGCACCCTGGGGTTCAACATAAAAAAAGTGAATGTTTTTTGGATTTCACCTCTATCTAGTTTATGTGTACAAAATTTCCTGCACGTGTGTTCAAAACCGGGGAAGCTACGCTTTTAAAGTTCTGATAGCAACAAGAACAAGAAGAAATGAGGTTCAAAAAAAATAAAATTATGATCTTAAAATGACACAAATGAACATTTTATTGTCAGGGACGGATCCGGTAGGGGGCTCGCTCCCCTTTGAAAAATTCTGGATCCGCCCCCCCGATTGTGTACTCTTTCAGGAGAGAGGGAGTAAGTAAAAGAGTACTGTATGTTGTGTACTCTTATGAAAATGATGAAAATACTGTAATATATGATCAAATCTGAGCTAATCTATTAAAACATTTGACATAATGCTTTCAGAATACAGAAGGATTCGTTTTCTTTCAATTACAATTTTAAGATTATGATTATGTATAAACTTAGAAATCTCATGAATATAGATGCTTATCTGGCAAGTGGTGGTTAAAAGCTATCCATAAATTAATTGAATGTGCTTCTGGTTAAATAACAAATTTAATGAAAAATAGTATTAAAATAATCAAGAGCTACTTCAATAGCAGAAGTAAGGGTAAGCAAAGCTCTGTCCAGATTTAAAACAAAAAAAAGTTGTATGCCCATATATAGTCATGATGTGCCTATATATGGCCATGATGTGATGTCATCATGACCATATTTAGGCTGTGTCATATTTTTGTCAAATAGTCTGGACAGGGCTTAACTGATACAATATTTGCTAGAAAATTTGACAATAATTATAGAAGATGATATTTCTTTTGTAAAAAAGCCAAGCTCAACTCATGGAAAATACATCAATGAATCATGATATAAAATACCAACTATTTTTCCATGATAATTTTTTTACCAACCTAATTAAGTATTAACCGCTGATTACAATATTTCACGCTTCAGTGCACTTGTAGCTACGATGATGTGTCGAGAGATATTAAGATACAAACAGTACATTACTACATCCTTCGTTACAACAGAAATTGCCAAAATTGGAGTTTCATTGCGTCCCAAAGGCAATTATCCAGACGAAGAAGGCAACATAATAATGTAGACAAATTGTACTGCTTAATAGCCAATCAAAAATGAAGATGTCAGAATGTTTTTCTTTTTTTGACAACAGCAAAGAAATTGAAGGATCAATTAGGAGGATTTGTAATGCTCCTGAGGTATATTTCAAACTACCATTTATAGTCTTATTTATTATTATTCCTCATAATTAACATATTCTGGAATTACTTTTTAAAGAGATAGAATGAAGATGTAGCTTAGTGGTTTAAGATATTATTGATCTTCCAATCCCAAAGGGTCTTGGATTCAATTTCTGCAAATATGAAGATTTCATTCTTCTACAAACTACAAACAGTTAGCCAGTCGTGGGATAGATTATGTTCAAAGGGGCAAACCTATCCAATGAGGGATCTAATAATAATTTAATAATATGATTTCAGGTGGGGCTTGAAGGGTTGCATGACCTGAATTAGGATCCAGGGGTACAGTCCCCACACCAAAGAAAACCTTAGTAATTTTAGGTCATTTTAATCTGTTCTGAAAAGTTTTAGATACTGTATCTCATCAAATAATTTTAATTTTTTGGTCAGGTAATACATCAAAGGGGATTGGCTTGTCTGATACCCTCCCCTGCAGATATTGCTAATGCCTGTGGGAGAACAATAATCTGCATTCAATTGTGCCAGATTGTCCCAAATTTCCAACATTTTTTAATCTTTTTTTTTCTGTTGAAGCACATACTGTAGGTTTTTGCATTATGTACTATATAAGTAGAACGTATTATTATTATTATTACTATTATTATAGAACCAGTTTCCCAGTTTAAATAAAAAAACAAATTTATAAGATAAAGACAAACACAGCAATGGTCAGTTCAAATAACAAAACTATAAAGAGGGTGCACTGCTAGCAAGCTAGGTATTATATACATTAAAAAGTCTGGGATAACTATACAAAAAAAACTTAGAATAAAATTTGTATAGTATTAATTTTAATGCATATTATTTTCATTTAATTCAAATCCTACTGTTATGTTTCAAGGTCATGTAATTTGATATCTTGCAGTGGACTATTACTATGTAATAATAATAATAATAATAATATGCAGAAATTTATAATGCGCCAATTCAAAAACATTATCTAAGGCACAGAGAAAAATTAACTAATTAATTAAATTAATTAATTAAAGCGATTTTAATATTAAAGAATAAAATAAATGAACAAGACATAAACATTAATGGCTACAGATGATTAAACCATTATTAATATTAACAAAACTGTACATAAGGCTTTGGGATCTAAGCTAGGCAATGATACAATAAGGTAGAGGATAATACTACTGTACTAACATAGAATTATACTGATAATATGCAGTTAAATCCTCCAATAAGTGCTGCAGTGCTTATAAAATTGTTGGAGGCTTCAGTACGGCACTTATTCAAGAGTGGTGCTTCAAACAATATTGGCGTGGCACTTTCCAATGCCCGTTCCCATATTACCTATCTCACATTCCTGTAGGCCCTACATCATTGTAAATACAGACGTTTCAAAAATTAATTTGAACATTGTACAGGTATGTATACATTGTATTTAAAACTCTGTCTCTTAAAATGTTTCATTACACACAGGGTTAATATTTGCTCTCAATTAAGTGCCACGGCTCTGGTTGATTAAAAGTACTATTAACAAAACTGTAAAAAAGCTTTGAAATCTAGGCTAGGTAACGATACATTAAGGTTTGAGATAATATTAAAGATTTATACTGATAATATGTGAAGTAATTATACTGTAAACCATTATATTTTTACTCCAAATCTTTTAATTATTAAGTTTCAGTGTTAAAATGAATCTATATCTGCTTGCAATAAAACATTTACTAATATCAAATTTATTCAGTTACTAATGTCTAATCATATCAAAGAACTAAATAAATTTAAAAAAAAATTAATAAAAAAATATCATTGATGGCTTGGGATCTAGGCTAGGTAGTGAATATATTAAGGTTTAACTCTGACCATGTACAATGCAATCTACATTACATTTTCTCTGAATCTACAGTATCATTATGTTTCTCAGTCAAATAATTGTATACAGTTAAAGAACGACAATTAACATTATCATCATTGATGAAGAAAACTATGCTCTGAAAAAATTCTTTCTATCCTCCAGTCTCCATCACAAAAGAGTTGGCGCTACTGTGCTTCACAATATTTTATGGAATGCATCCCGGCATATGCCCAAGTTTTTTTTCCATATGCCCGAGTTTTTTTTCCACGTGTCTCACCCCTATGAATGCAGATACCTACACCAGAATGTATCATTCAATCTACAATTAGGCCTACGGGCCACATTACAGCAATGCATTTGGTTCTCATCCAAGGATAGAAATAATACTGGAGCGATGCACTTGCGATGTAATTGCCATTAGAAATTTAGTGGAGAGCTTATACAATACATCACAAGTGCGCACAAGATTCTTAATTACAGAAACGGGATAATTAGCTAACTTAGTATAGAGTACAGTGCTAAAATAAGTTCTAAAATTATTTGAAATTGGTAAATTTCTCCTCTATTAATCTTCACTGAGGATAGTAAAGAATTTTTCTATCCATTTTTGCATCTTGAGTTTATAGAGTCCATTTTTGTTCAGCTTGAGTTCATGTCAAAATTGTATAGTTACTGTTCGCAATGAGATACATGGCTACCCTGTGTTTATCCAACAAACAGAAATTTAAAATTAAATATGTACTGTATACAATTGAGATTCTATTCTAGCGTCCTAAGCCTCATTGTTCAGAACTCTTTTCTACTGTGGAATTATAAAACATTTCTCACTTACCCATCTTGAGCTAGTCAACCAAATCAAACACTATTTCAGATTTTATGTAAAGCTGAAAGAATAATAATACTTTAAATATAGTTACTTCAGTTTGGTGAACAATATTTATATTATCACTTTGTTTCAGAATACCCCCTTCAACACATACATCCCCTAGGGTGATACAATGTTTGCCTTGTTGAAATGCTGTATACCGTAGTTATTATTATTATTACTTCATTGAATGACTCGTGATCGAATTAATAAAATTGGTATTAAAATTGAGCAATAAAATATGAAATGTAAGTATTGTAACAAAACTTGAATTTGACATTAATGCAAATTGAATATGTTTGCGATAATTGGCAATAGCACTAAAAAAAAAATTAATTAAAACTATGAATTTCTGATTTAAATAAATTAATCAAATAGTTATCAACAGATTAAAAATTTTTTTTTTGGAAAATTGACCAGGAATATTAATACAACAGCCCTTACATTTCTACTTGTAAATTAGGAATGGATTAAAAAAAAAAAGTTTTTCTGTCAATTAGCAATTTTTTCTCACTTGAGGTGACCGGATTTGACAAAGACGTACATTTGTTGGTCAAATCAAAATTGGGTTTTTGGTATTTTTACATTCTATTATACAAGTCTTTAAGGCCTTGACTGCCAGACCTTATTTTTAGTTTCCTTCCCATGTGCCAAAACAAGTACACATGTATTTAAAAACATACTTTTTTTGAAATTTTATCTAGTCATAAATCATCAAAATGGCAGGTAAACTCTTCGCCGGCAATGGGACGGTACTTTATATTGCCTCTGCCAAGTGTGAGTTTTCTCATCCGCTTTTTGCATGGGTTGGTATACGTGTTCAGAGGAAACATCCACTTGTGCAATCGAGTGTACTACCGGCAAGATAACACAACAAACATGCATACATTATTTGTATGTTATCATTTAGGTATATTTTCGTCGAACTATCAGCCATTAATCCTGTGGTATGTATAACAATAAAGTAATAAACGCTAGCATGTTATCATGTTTTGACGAGCATAGTCATCCCTGGCGGACTCATCAACACCTTGTGGGACAAGTATACTTATCACTGGCAATGAACGTGTTAAACAAGTGTTTATTTGATGAGATTGATTTATTTTAAATATACAGTAGTGAACTTATGAATATTTAATTTAATTAATACTGCCAAAGTAAGTTTTGATAAAACAGCTTTTTAAGATTCTTAAAGTCAGTAGTTTAATATTAAGATCGCTACATATTATACCTTCAGTTTGGTTTATAAAAAATGATATTTGGCATACATATTCTTCAACATCTCTTCTTCATATTATTCTATCTATTCATAAACTGCAAAAACCTGGCTTTGGTCAATATGATGTTTTTGCTTCTGCTATGTCGCAATTGGAAATGCCGACAAAAGTAGGGTTTTGCCAGAGCCAGTCAGATATTGATTGAAAGCTAATTACTAATAAATATACAAAGCAATTCCAATTGCATTTCATTTATCAAGTTTATTAGCTCTGTGCAGACAGTAATCTTCAAGAATTTTAATAATGCTACAAGAAGTAAATGGAATATCATCCGACCTACTAATAACAATGTTATACTTCATTTCATTATAGGCATTCATAATTAAATCTGCCTACTGTACTGCATGTTATTGGCACATGAAAAATATGTGCATTTCATTCAAGGATGCAGTTTTTATAAAATTGAGACCAATGTATTTTTACCGATTAAATGTGATTCTACATTAATAAATTATTTGTGCAAACTGGATATATTTTACAGGTTTCAAAGGAAAAAAAAAACAATATTAAGCCTTTATATAAAACCAGTGGCAGGTGGTACCTACAGAAGGATGTGAGAGATGCATGTCCCTAGAGTAAAAAAAAATACTCAAGTAATTAAAAATTATCTTATACTACTCATCCCCAAAGCTAGTGCTCCCCACTGACCCATAAAAGCCACCACCAACTCCTCCATATGAAGTTAGATACGCCATGCCAACTGGGTAAAATATACTATTATATAATAAACATTATCCAAGTACCGCTAAATGCATACTTACTTACAATAAGCTTGGCAGAGTTTAGGAATTTAAAAAACATAAGGGCTCAGGGAAAAACTTTTATGAATGGAGGGAACCACATCAAGCCCACTGTGGTTGGTTGAGGTACAAAAATTTATGGCTATGGCCAGAAATGACACTCGCATTATTTTTTTAATTTACAGAGGCCTAACTGGCTGGGCCCTTTCCCTTATCTGGACCTGTATAGCATTTTAATAAAATAATACAAAAATAATAATATACAATACC